TCTAGGAAAATTTTCTTTTTGATTCTGAAGTAAGAAGCGACTAGGAATATAATGCCGTTGAAATGGGATCGATTAGAAACACCGAATTTTGCGAAAGTTTCTAGAAAACCGATTTTCCCGAACTATAGGAAATGGTTAGGAAAATTTTCTTTTCGAATTTGAAGCAAGGGTCGACCATGAATACGATGCCGTTGAAATTAGATCGATTAAATACCACGATCACACAATTTTTTCAATTTAAAATCTATGGCCAACTTCACACGCGTAAAAGAGCGTTTTAAGAGCGATTTAATGGAATTACAAATGAAAGAGAAACAGAAATAAGCTATAAATCGCTCTTAAAAAAAATAGGGAGCTTTAATTTTGAAAAACTAATAACGGAATCCGACAACCGACATTATTTGACATATTTTAGTGAAATCCGCGAGGAAATACACCCAGCCGTTTTCGACATAACGGCGTCTTACTAAACCTCGATTTTCCGCGAAACTGTATGGAATATCGAAAAAATAAAATATGTCACTCATTAAGAACACTTGGCATCAGGCTACCACTTGTTCAAAATTCAAATTTTTGCGTACGATAGCTTTCGGGAAAAAAAATCGCAAAGTTGACAAAGTTGCCGGCACACTCAAAAATCGGGTACTTTTTTCATTTAACTCGCGATAAAAAGAAAACCGCGGATCCGAAAATTTTCAAATTAACATATGTTACGTAGAAATGTTCAGTTTGTTGATTACAACAAACTTTGTCGCAATTTTTTTCATCAATCGGTTGCGAAGATATCGATCTCTAAAGTGAGGGGCCTTGACTTTTTGCACGGATAAGTAATCTGAATTTTCTGCCGGCGCCAAGCGAATAAATTTTTGCGAAACGTGCGGACGGCAAAGTGTTAATAATGGTAAACGAGAAAATTAAATTTAAAAAAATGGACTCAATTAACAGATTTTCACAAGAGATCCACTTTGAAATAAGCGGTACAAAACTAATTCATATTAATGTTGTAGTTTTAAACATTTACAGACCACCGGGCGGCGTTTTTTGATTTGTTCCTTGACCTTCTTGAGACAGTGTTGTCTACCTTCCACCCTGCTCCTAAAATCATTATAACTGGGGATTCAATGTGAGATTTGGCACTGATGACAGATGTGCTGCATTGCTGCTCGATTGCATAAGAACTTTCGGTTTCGAGCAGATGGTGTATGCTGCTACTCGTGGTAAAAATTGCTTGGACAACATTTTCGTGAATTTTGGGAGTACAAATGTTAATGTAATGATAAACAATCAATTTTCAGACCACGACAGCTTAACGTTGACGCATGCTTTTAATGAACCTTTGCTTGACGATACTTTTGTCACAATTATTACCCCAAATGATAAAGTTAAGTTTTTTGAGAGTGTTTCTAATGTTGATTGGAGTTTTGTTTCGGATGCACAATTGCAAGCCACTGAAAAATTCGATATGTTTTTGGAGAGAGTGATGAATGCTTATAATAGATCTTTTCCTGAGAGGCGTGTTCGCGAGGGGCGTGCACATCTATCGCAGTGATGGTTAAATACAAAATTAAAAGAAATTCGTGCAAATTTGAATGTTTTAACTACTATATAAATAAATAAATTCAGATATATAATAAACGTATTATACAATCAAAAATTAATTATAATGATCAGGTACTTGCTGATTCTGGTTACTCTGGTAAAGCAATGTGGAGGTTGATTAATAAGAGTAGAGTCGAAAAAAGTAGTAGAGTAAATGCAAATTTTCCACCAGATGAGATAAATAACTTTTTTGTTGATATTCCCTATAAAATCTTAGAATCAATTGAAAATAATGAAGTAACTACTGAAACATTCGATAATTATTTAAATAAAATAAACATCTAAGGATGCAATTTCTCTTTTATGGAAATATCCTTCGTTGAGTTGCGTGATATCATTGATTCCCTTAAATCAAAGTCAATTAGGGATATATATGGTTTTAATGTTAACTTAATAAAGCAAATCAAAAACTTAATTATACTTCCACTATGCAAATTACTAAATCAACTACTAATGGAGGAGGTTTTCCTGATGCGTTAAAAATAGCTCTTGTGGTACCTGTGTATAGAAAGGGTGACCATGATAAGATTGAAAATTTTAGGCCAATTTCTCTTCTACCCGTTTTCTCTAAAATTTACGAAAAGGCTTTAAAAAATAAAGTTTATGAATATTTTGAAAGTAATAAATTGTTTACTCCGACGCAGTTTGGTTTGAGAAAAGAAAAAAGCACTGTTGGTGTAATTGTTGATTTTGCAGAAAATGTTATGGAGTCCTATGAGGATGGAATAATCATAATCCATACTTCAGCAAAAATTTAAGAATTATACTGGTGAAAAACCAATCTTAAGGGAATAGTCGGGAATACTCTGGTCAGAAGGTTAATTTGCAAGAAAAAGTCTGAAATTGCAATAGTTATAAACTAGACTTCAGCAAAAAACAGTAATTACATTGTTCAAAGTCCACATGAAGTCTGAAATTACTGTTCAGAGAAAACAAAAAATTGATTATAAACCAAACATGATTTTTCATGGCAATACTTATGTGTTCAATAAAAGAATACGAAGAATATGAACAAGAAACTAATGGACTTGTCTTGTTATTGCACAGGACAGGAAATCACCAATACGGAAACTTTGCCAATGCAGGATAAGCACAAAAGCAAAGTAACAGCTGCAGAAATGAGGTACCGGGTGGTACAAGATCCGTATAGATAATAACAGGCTCCCAAAAAGATCTACTGCTTCTCAAAAACTAAATACTGCTTTCTGAAGGCTAGATACGGCTGACAGGTCTAAGTACTGCAAAAGAAAGATAAGATATTGTTGGAGAAAACATACATAATGTTGGCGGGAGACTAGATATTGCTTCTAGAAGACTAAATACTGCTTTCTGAAGACTAGATACTTCCGTCAGGTCTAAATACAACGTCTGGAACACTAAATACTGCCTTCTAAAGACTAAAATTGCTTTGTGGAGCTAAATACTGCTTTCTGAAGACTAGATACTGCCGATAGGTCTAAATACAACGTCTGGAACACTAAATACTGCTTTCTAAAGACTAAAATTGCTTTGTGGAGACTAAATACTGCTTTCTGAAGACTAGCTACTGCTGACAGGTCTAAATACTGCAAAAGAAAGATAAGATATTGTTGGAGAAAACATTAAAAAGGTGCCGGCGCCCCCTTTTAGGCGGCGCTCGGGTGCAGTGCACCCCTTACACCCCCCGGTAGCGCCACCTCTGACATGATGGGTGCTTTCTGTGACCTCAGTAAGGCATTCGATTGTGTGCAGCATGACCTTTTGCTCTATAAGTTGGAAAAATATAATTTTGACAATAACAGTATTAGATTGATTAAATCATACTTAACAAATAGGTCACAAATAGTTAAGTGTAATGATTTGTTTTCTAAGAGAATGGGTATTTCGATAGGTGTAGCCCAAGGATCAATATTGGGCCCTCCTTTGTTTTTAATTTATATTAATGTCTCCCTCAGAATACAACGAATGGGTCGGTTGTTTTGTATGCCGATGACACAACCCTATTTGGCAATCACAAAGGTTATGAAGATGCTTTGGAGATTAGAGCTGTTTCTCTAAGGGAGGCTGAGCGTTGGTTTGCTTGAAGTTAAATTCAGATAAAGCGGCTTTTGCTACGTTTACATTGAGACTGTGCCCTAACATACAGTCTCTTTCTGCTGTAAAGTTTTTGGGCGTTTATCTTGATTCCGGGCTGTGCTGGGAGGAACATATTTTGACATTATGTAGTAAATTAAGTGGCAGCATCTATTTGTTGCGAAACCTGCGTTCGAACGTATCTTCACCAGTTTTACGCACAGCATACTTTGCGCTGTCTCAATGACTTATGTATTGTTAGTCTGGGGCTCTGCAGCTGGTTTTGAACGCGTATTTAATGCAGAGAAGGGTATTAAGAAATTTAAATTATAGAGACGACTGTAGACGCTCCTATATTGATTTACAAATATTAACTCTACCGTCTCTCTACATTCTCGAACGTTAATAAGAACATTTATAAGTTTAACACGTATAAGCAGGTGCATAACTATGATACTAGAAAAAATAGCGATCTGATACCCAAATATACACAATTAACAAAATGCCAGAAAAGTGTGAAGGCCTTGGAGATGAAATTTTTTAATAAATTGCCATTACACGTCCTTCAGTTGCCATTGAAGGGCTTTAAAGAGTATATTAAACAAACTCTTGTTACAAGGCCGTACTACTCGACCTCCGAATATATGAGTGACAGTCTTGAGATGATTTCCACCTAGCAATTAATGTTGTCTATTGTAATCTTATGTAATTTTATGTTATTATTTTTTCTTTAATGACACTACATAATATATGTAAAATTTTACAAGTGTGAACATATTGTATTGTATGTGTAACACAAGAGATTATGAATTATCTCTTATATGTATAGAGTCTAACAACAAATTTTTTTTCGAAAACCGTTAAGAGTTACGGCGTTTTGACGGTCGATTTAGATCGCTAAAGGCATCCTCTAAATCATCCTAAAATTTCATTAATTTCAGAAGTGCCCATTGGGGTCAAATTCACCCCCAGTCTCATCCGCGGTTTATAATAATGATTTTTTTTTCTCGAAAACCGTTAGCAGTTACAGTGTTTTGAAAATTGATAAAAATATTTAGAACTGTGTTTCGCCCATGAGGGCGAAAACATCCCTTTTTTGGGGGTGGGAGTTAAAAATTTTTTTTACCAAATTGGGGTTGTAAGCTGTTCTTCAGGGTAAGAGTGACCTGTGTGTGAAATTTGGTTACCCAAATCATATTGGTTACAGAGTTATTAATGTTTTAAGTTTATGGCTGGGATTTATGGATAACTTCACACCAGCTTTTAAGCCACATGATGATTCTTGAATTATTCCTTAATTCTAAAGAAGCCTTCTAAAGATTAAAAATTAAGATTTAAAAAAAACTAACCAATTTCAATATTATCCTTTATATTATCTTTAAAATCAATTAAAGAACCTCTCCATTGCTTCCACTTATCATTATCAGGCATAACTTCATCAAGCCACTTCATATCTGGAAGACCTTCCTTCCAATCTTGATATTTCTACAACAAGAAATAGCTATTTCTAAATCGGATAATATAACCTAACTTTTAAGTTTACTTTTTGTAGTGTTACTCCACCTCCTACGGCCCCTCCAAGTAGTAAATATCGAACTTTTAGTAATCCTCTTAAAGCCCGTACAGCGAACATTCCATATTGTCTCTGCTGTTGAAGCTGATAACGTTTTAAAAGGGGCCTAGATCTATCGAGAGTCCTGCCAGTCCAAGTCGAGCATATCCCTCTTCTGCATGTTACATTACTGCCGTATTTTAGCGGTAATTGAGCGTATGTACTGATTACGACACGTCTGGAAGAATTTTTTACAAAAATAAGATAAAAAGAATCGGCTCACATAACCTCAATTTATGAAATTAGTTAAAATAATTAATATATTGCGATACGACTTACCCGAAGCGGCCTTTTAGTATATGTTCCATTACGTTACCGGGTTTTTAATGCATCATTTAATAAAAGGTAAAATTATATAAATTCCGATGATATTTCGAGGAATAGTACAAAAATTAAACGTCAAAGTTTTGAAGCTGTCGGTAAGGAAGGTATTTGAAAATAAAAATTTAAATTGGATTAAATAAATAATTAGTTAATAATTAATGATTTGTATTTAACGTAAGAATTGTTTTTATAACAAAATAATCAAATTAAATTCGTTTAATAAGGTTTAATAAAGAATATATAAAAATGTTGTAATTTTCGATCATAGATGCCGCTATTGTGACAAATTAAACATAACCTACAAATTTATTTCTTTCAAAAATAATCTTTTTGACGTAAATCAATCAATGGTGGTAAACAGAAGTGAAAATATGACCACAACAACAAATATTTCAGACGAAAAAACGTTTTTTATATCATTACCTCAAGTAAGTAAGCATAAATCGTTTTACAAACAACAATACAAGTCTATTTTAAGCTTGATGGAACTTCACATATTCTACCTGTGAGTTCACTTCAATTAAATAACTTAGGATTAAGTGAATTGAGCCAACAGGACACGCCTCAAGATAATCAACCTCAAGTTACACAAACAAATCCTTTTAATATTGATTTAGAAGAAAATGGGAGTCTCATTACAAATATAGTTTATAAAGTTATTAAGCCGGAGGATTTAGATTTAAAGCCTGCTAGTATTAAATATTTGCCAAGGGGAAGACCAAGAAAAAAAGTTTGTTTGGAAAAAACGACAATTATTGAACCAGAAGTGAAAAAAGTGATGAAACAAGCAAGAACTAGATCGGGGAGAATTACAAAACCCCCAAAGCATATTGAAGTTGATTTCAAAAAGATTGATATCACCGATGATTCAGAGTTAAAAACCGCGGAATTTGAACCTTTAAAAACTAATGATAGTGAAGTGAAACAAGAACCTTTATTGATTTTAAATCAACATTGTAAAAAAAGAAATATACCACCAAGATATCGGTGTCCAACTTGTAATAAGGCTTATTTAGGTAAAGCAAAGATATTAAATCATTTTGAAAAACATCCAGATCACGGTTCGATTTCTCCTAATGTTACATTTAAAAATACAGCAACTTGGGATTTTTTAATATCAACAGCACAAAAATTTAAAGGATCTAAAGTCACTAAATTTTGTGATGAATTAACAACATTAATAGAAAATGCTAAAAAAATTGCAAAGTACTTATTTAAACCTTTCAAAGAGGATCAAGAAAGTTACATTATTAAGAATGAATTGGCAGCAATTTTTGGTATAAAAGAAGGAACTTATGGTTTAGATGAAAGTGAATTATTTAAAGATATAAGCCTTTATGAGTATTTAGAAAATACACCAAAACGAGATGAACAAAAAGAAGAAAAAACTAATAACGAAATTGATCTTCTAAATAATCACTTGAACAATCAAAATTCTTTAGCTTTAGTAAAATATGAAATGCCTAAGTTGTATAATTTTACAACTCCTGAGTTTTCTGATGATAATCATGAATTTAACAGGCGAAATGTTCAATTAACTGTAGATAAAGCTGATGAAAATAAATGTTTGGATACTAAAAAAGAAGTTTTTCATCAATTACAAAAAGAAATCACTTTACACAATGAGTTACATGATGTTGATGAGTTAATGTTGGAAAATGTGGACACGGGTCAGGTGAATATTTTAGAAACAAGTAGTAATTCGGATGATATTATGAACGTCGATCAATTTGTTAATGAGAGATTCAAGAAATTAACTGAACCTGATATTGATATTCATGGAAATTCTTTAAATTTGGAGTTGCCACCGTTGGATATATTTCAATTTCATACGTCATGATGAAACAATAATTTATTTTTGTTAACTATGTTACTTAATTAAACATCAATTAATTTGAATTAAACGTGTTGTGGTTAACACACATAAACTTGAAAAGCGTTTCAATTTGCAATGAAATTCTTTTTTCATTATAAAATACTTTACAAAATATACAGTTTGTCCGTAAAGTAGCGGATATAGGCGATAAAATCATTATAACCGGTTTATAGAAAAATCCCTGAAACGGGTCTAAAGATTTAAATTTTTTTGGTGTAGATTTCAAATGTTTTCCGCCATTTTTAAACCAGTTATGAAGTCATGGATATTTTTTAAAATGGCAATCCCCTATTTTTATTATGGAATATGAAAGAGGACTGTTTTCTGAATCTAGTACATTCATTATTAATATTAATTACATCAGGAAATTTACGAGAAAAATTACTTCAAATTTGTATAAATGATAAAAATAGCAGTAGTCAAGAATATATTGAACTATGGTAACCAATTATTTTAAACAATAGACAACCTAATCCTTGACGTTACAGTGATGCAAAGCTTATACCGACTCCAAACATTTTCGTTGCTAACGGTAAATTTCCATATGCAATTTTTCATTTAGTGTTAAAATAAAATAAACCAAGTGACATTTTTTTTTATACAGGTGTATCTGAATGACGTGCCCAAACTTCAGGGGGTGATTCTTTAGGCAATTTTAAGGGAACTTTCTCATATAAACTATCAGCGATTTCGACTCCCCTGCGGAGCTACGCCCCTTCAAAAATGGCGAAAAATTTTGGTTTATTTTATTTTTCCCGAAAACCATTAACACCAAGAAAATGAAATTTGGGAAATATGTTTAGCTTATAATAGGGCATGTTTCGAGCCTATTTGTACTTTCAATCTTCCCTTCTAAGTTACTAAACATAACCACCCCCGTTCAATTTTTGTCTAGATCTTTTTTATGACGATGATAAATACATTGGAAATATTTTATTTAGATAGACGAAAATATTCTAAAACTTTTTTGCCTCTCTGATGTTCTTCGAAAAGTTAATAGTTTCTGAGAAAAAAATTAATTAAGCAAACACTAACTGTTAAGCTGTAGCGTTGTTAATCGAAAGTTGGAATGAATTTTTAAAGAAAAAATCTTAGCAGGCTTAGCAATCTTTGTCAGAAATATTTTTGACGTTTAAATGTCAGTGGTTTTCTTACTATTATTATTGTTTTATTTAAAATTTTGAAACGTCGAGTGAACGAGCGTAAATGCGGTAGAACTTTATTCATAAATTAATTTGAAAAACAATAATAATAGTAAGAAAACCACTGACATTTAAACGTCAAAAATATTTCTGACAAAGATTGCAAAGCCTACTAAGATTTTTTCATTAAAAATTCATTCCAACTTTTGATCGACAACCCCGTTGTTGAACGGGCAGTGTTTGCTTTATTATTTTTTTTCTCAAAAATTAGTCGTTTTTGGAAAAATTTTAGAGAGACAAAAAAGTTTTAGGATACTTTCATCTACCTATGTAATTTTTTTTTAATGTATTTACCCTCTGCATAAAAAAATTTTAGCAAAAATGTAAAGGGGGCGGTTACGTTTAGTAGTTTAGAAGGATAGGTTGAAAGTACAAATAGGGTGAAAACGTGCCCTACTACCAGTTAAACATATTCCCCAAATTTCGTTGTCCTAGCGTTTATGGTTTTTGAGAAAAAAAAATTAAACCAAAATTTTCCGCCATTTTTGGAGGGGTGTAGCTCCTTAGGGGAGCCCAAGTCGCCCATGGTTTATATATCAAAGTACCCTTAAAATTGCCTAAAGAATCACCCCCTGAAGTTTGGGCATGTCATTCAGATACACCTGTATATTATGCATAGCACAAAGGTCCGTACAGCTACACCCCCCTTTCGAGATATTAGCATTTTGATACTACTATAATTATGTACTAATTTTGTACTACATTAAAAATTCTTGTGCTAATCATCTAGTACTTTTTTATACAGGTCATCTACGACGACCGTCCATTAGAACTTTACAGGGTTCTGGCCAAAATACAAATTTGAAAATTCAGATTTAAGTATTATCAATTGCGTTCTCTTCGACTAAAATATTTTCAAATATCTAACACTTCCGGTTATACCGGAAGTCGCCACCTACTTTATTTTTTTAAATGGAACACCTGTATATTTTTACATATTTGGATTTGTCTGTTTTCAAAGTTTATGAATGACTTTACGTTTTGCAATTTGATTTGGCCGTTCTCAAGTTATTCGAATTTTTCTACAAAAATCTGCTCCAGCAGACATTTGTTCAAAAAATCAGAGAACACTCTATTTTTGGGGTATCAATTTAGGATTCAGAACATGCTTAAACAACATGATGGAGTATGTTTTAGTGCAGAGTATGGCTGTCTAGAACGTTTGGTCACTTTACTATGGCACGTTACCTTTTCGAAACTTGGAAGTACCATAACTTCATTTCTTTAAATGGCACCCCCCATATTTTATTACTTAGTCGTCTTCGGTGTTTCATTTTACATCTTTTATATTCCATACACAGATAAAAATTTTACAAAGTGAATTTACACGGTGTTGAAACATCTCCGAATAGAGTTAATATTTCAGAAAATAATTGTAAACGTAACACTTTTCGGAGGTAATTTAAATACTATATACAGGTTTAAAAAAGAATAACACCCAATGGGAATGTGAATCAACTACGTTCAGGTTTATTTCTTTACTTTCTCAATAAAATTGTTAAAATAACGGTAAACAGTGAAAATGTAACTCTTAGCGGTGTATAATTTGACCGTTCCCTTCCGTTAATCCTTGTTGTTCGGCTGTTCTTTTGTCTCGATACGCTCACGTGTTGCGTAGTAGTGACGACAAGACGACCGTTACGCGTTCCATGTGGTCGCAACGTAGGCTCTACGTTCTATCTGTGTTCGTTTGGACGCCATCGTATACGCATACTGAGCAGAGCAAAGGCAATTAATACAGTTTTATACTATTGGTGATTTCGTGTCCGTAGTATGGAGCAAACGATATTTTTAAGGGTGAAATATGAAAACAAAAGGAAGTGGGTACGAGTAGCAGCAGAAAAAGAGATAACTCTTGCAACAATTAACAGCGCAAGTAAGTAATATCTAGATTTTTTGCAGTCTTGCACATACTAACTTTTACTTGTAGTAGGAAATATTTTTGAAATAAACGAAGAATTATGGGATAGAATTAAATATTTCGACGAGCATAATTATTCAATTGATAATAATTTAATTTAATTTAATAGAACAACATCACCAAGCTTTTATTGCTGAATTTGGCATGGATCTCCAACCAAAACATCATATGATGATTCACTACCCTGGCGTTATTTTACGGATGGGTCCACTGTATCAACTATCTTCCCTACGTTATGAAGCAAAACACGTTGTTGTTAAAAAGATGATTCCAAACAATACATGCTATAAAAATATTGCCAAAACTTTAAGCAAAAGACATCAAATGCGATGGTCTAGTACTTGGCAAAGCAATATAATTAATAATGTTCCGATCCTTGGCCCAAAAAAAAAGTTACTGAAAATTTTAGCACTAAGGAATAGTTTCTTAGCTTAAATGTCGATTATGGAAACTTACTTTTTTCCGCATGGTTGAAGAACCATGGTATTAAATATCGAATTGGTTTTTATTTAATAAATGGAAAAACTGAAAACAATTATCCTATGTTTGTTAAAATTAAATACATTTTTAGCTTTAATAACAATTTTTATTTTGTTTGTCAAAATTGGGATACCATACTATTTTTCGAGTACTTACAAAGTAGTCGAAAGCGTAAATAAAACTGAAAGGCTGATACGTTTGGATCAACTTTCTCATCCCATGCCTTATGAATGTCATCAATCACGCATACAATGACGCAAACGTTTATATTGTGACAAGGTATGAAATTATATTTTAATTTGGAAAATTATACTTGTTTATATTAAAAGACGATTTTGAAACTTCTTTCTTGATTTAATTAAAAAATTTTTTATTAAATAAAATAGAATGTAGATAAACCACAACATTTGACTGATATGCAGAGCCACGACGTTTCGGGCTGTTGATGTCACCATCTGTATAGAGCAGGGAATGGGTTATAGCGTAGTAGTAACATGCTTCTATCGTGCACATCGATTTGCCGCAACGTAACGATACTGGTTGAATGCCGGCCCATGTAAAATTTGGGAGAGTTCTCTGCGGTGCAGCATTCAATACGTGTTTGGCCGATTGTCCGACTAAAACTCAACCAGTGGCGTGGTATACTATATGTGGCGTGATGTGGTCCATGTCGCCCGAGTTTCTACCGTAAGGCGACGTGCCGCCAATCAGTTGCCCGACAACGTCGCGGCTCTGCTGATATGTCACGCAATAACAACTACATTTGGCAAAAGTATGTTTGTTTATATTGAAACTACATATTAAGTCTTAGTATATAAGTAGTACTAGTACAGTACTTGTATATACATAATAGTATTGGTGCTGTACCTACAATAAAAAATGTTTTTAGGAATAAGTTGTTTCATTTATGCATACCTACCTTATGCCTACCTGCGTACTCACCTGGCAGATTTACCTCTATATTTCAACACCGTAAAATTGTTAATTTAAATTCTCTGCGGTGTTGATTTAACATTCGCTATAGGTGTTATATCATATCTTCATGGTGTACAAGTAAATACTTTACAGTATTAACAACACCCTTTGAGAGCGAATTCAGCTCCAACAATGTGTTAATATTACATCGTCTGGGTGAAGGTTAATAATTCCGAGATCGAGGTAAACTCCACACTCAAAAGAGTTGTTTTTCCACCGTTCATTTTCACTCCATTCAGAATTTACACCGTACTCCGTTGGACGCGAGGGATACACGAAAAAGAGTTAAAACGGTGTTAAAATCAACTCCTCATTTTTATCTGTGTATTATCACTATTATCAGTAAGGAATGAGTAAACAGTTTGACATTTGCTAAAGCTATGGTTTATTTCTGTTGGTGTGATGACTAGCTTACTTTTTGTAGTGATCTGTTCTCAAGAAATACCACGTTTGGAATTTAGTAATGAGGATTATTTGAATTTGATAATAATTTATTGAGAGTGCAACCAAATAATTGCGCGTACGTGTCAGCTGCAACATACAAGTGGTCTAAAATTGAAAAAAATTTCAAAAATGTAATGAAATACGGGGTGTTCCATTTGAAATATGAAAATTGTCACCTCTTCCGGTGTAACAGCAAGCACCCGGAACCTGAAAATATTTTAGTAAAAAGCTGGCATCAAACACAGAAATCTGCAAATTTTCAAAGGGCCAGTTCATATGGTTATACACCAGGTCACACTAGGTATTCATGGCACACTAGGTTAAATATCGATATGTGTGTGCATTTTTCAAAAAACCCTAATTACCTCCCAAATTATAAATGTTAGGTATAGGACATATGGGATATAAAAGATGTAAAATGAGACACCGAAGACGAGTAAGTAATAAAATATGGGGGGTGCCATTTAAAAAAATGAAGTTATGGTATTTCCAAATTTCGAAAAGTTAACGTGCCGTAGTAAAGTGACCAAACATCTAGACAGCCGTACTCGGCACCAAAACATACTCCATCATGTTGCTTACGCATGTTCTGAATCGTAAATTGATATCCCAAAAATCGAGTGTTCTCTGATTTTTTTAACAAATGTCTGCTGGAGCAAATTTTTCTAGAAAAATTCGAATAACTCGAGAACGGCCGAATCAAATTGCAAAAAGTAACGTTATTCATAAACCTTGAAAATAGACAAATAAAAATATATAGGGTGTTTCATTTAAAAAAATAAAGTAGGTGGCGACTTCCGGTATAACCGGAAGTGCTAGAAATCTGAAAATATTTTAGTCGAAGAGAACACAATTAATAATACTTAAATCTGAATTTTCAAATTTTTGTATTGGCCAGAACC